TGAAAGAGTGTTTGTTCTTTCAAGTCTCCTTATTTTCCTAAGCTGACATCTGCTACCAAGAGACCTTCTGATGTGTTTTCTTTCGTTTGTTTATTTTCGACTGAACAAATACTGTCTGCCAGTCAATGGCGCTAGTTTACTAAAAACATCGAGAGCTCATTTGTTCCAATGCATACGTTCTGCCTGAATCCAATCTCTAACAGACTTCCTCCTCACAGGACTCTCTGAACAGAAACGACTTCGGCCACTTGATAGGCACCACCAGCTTCGTCCCTCAGCCCTCCTCTGAGGATTTCTTCCCAGAGGACAACCACATGGTCCTCAAGCAGTCGGAGGCCCTCATCAACGACGACCCCCTGCTCAGCTCCAGCTGCCTGACGATGTTTCCTCTGGGCAGGAGAGGCAGGGAGGAGGAATGTGAGGAGGAATGTGAGGGGTTCAGGGGCTCGGAGGGGTACCAGTGCAAGTGGGAGGGGTGCTACGGCACGTACGAGTCACAGAGCTCGTTGGTGAGGCATATCGAGAAGTGTCACGTGGAGTTGAAGAGGGGTAAGGGAGTTTTTTGATTATGCAGTAACAGTCGTTCCTTCAGTTTATCGAATGAAGAAGATACATGATTGTAAATGATGTATAACGAGACCAATCAACTTCGTTTTTCTGCAACCGACAAGAAAGTCGTCCATTTTGATACCAGAATTAGCTCTTGGATTGACGTTTCTATCACTGACACAAAAATAGGTATGTTGCTAGGCAACACATTCAGTTCCTAGGAGTCAAAGTTGAACTTCAGCTCCTAGGAACTAAAAAGAATTCACTAGAGGTCAACAAGAATAAACAACACTGCTATGGTTGGTTATTTGGGTTGTGACGCATACCTGATTTGTTTCCGATTTCGAGAGATTTGGCATTTCATACTTATGCTGAAGATATAAATACACCTTAGTATAGTCTTCGAGTATTCACACTAGTGTATATAATCAAGGGTATAGTTGAGTATTTTTGTTTTGATCAGGAAAGCCTTCAAGATTCACATGCTTGCTGGATATGTATTTCAATCGTTATTCGCGGGATGGATAAGTTGTTTTTGAATAATCACGGCCAGCAATAGTTTTTTTGTCAAACAACGATATTGTTCACCTGAATTTGATTATCAAAGCCGAACACAGTGGAGTATGGAGAAAAATAAATAATCGCTATCATTATTGTAGATATGGTCACTAACCTAACATTTTCCACGGCTTGTTCCTATACCTGGCACTGGCGCGGTATTTGCCATTAGAGCATATCTGGTCCATACACAAATATGTCACTCTGTGGTTGTATTTATATTGAAACTACATTTCGAACATCTTTGAAAATTGAATAAATCTGCTGCTAATGCAGGTAGAATATTCTCACCACACGGATTATTTGTTGCATTGCATACATATGGCACGGCATTGGTGGTTACTTCACATATTCATTCCACTTGATTGTTTCGGTTGCAGAAAAAATAGCAAATTTTGCTTTTCAAACAAAGTGTCACTTTTGATCCTAATAAAACAATCTACTATTTTCTACTCACATAACTAAAGTGGGATTCAGCGAACGGATATGTACCACGCTAAATGATCGATTATTAATCATGGATTGACGATCTGTGATTCATTCAAAACATTAAACACGTTACCACGGCAACACAATTTGTCACACACATATAACCATGCCAACACAGTTTTTTAAACACACCTTCAGTCGTTTGAGTTCTGTCCAGCCTGTCAATTGTAGGAGCTGTCAACTGTCCTTTTCGAATTTCATTGCAATCGGTGACAATCAGAATTATTGAAACATTTACTGTTTGTATCAGAATTCTTTATTGGAAATGTATGCGAAATGTAGACGAACGTGAAACCGAAGAGAATGTTTTAGGTACTTGCAGTTATTTCCAATAACTCTGTGAGAAAATGAAGCTCTCATCTTTGTGGGCATTCAATGCTAAGCATGACAATAAACGTAAAACACAAAAATGTTTATTTATGTTAGCAAAAATTATGCAATCAGAATACGAATACAAACCTGAGAAATCGAAAATATTGATACTCTAGCGAATCGAAGAGTTTTCATCTTCTAGGTCAGATGAAAACTTCTTTATTCACAAAGATTAGTAAGCAAGCCATTTCAATAGAAATTCATGTATCATATGGACTGGACACATATTATATAACCAATATCACTTATACGTGTCTTCAGGACTATAACAGAATATCCTAGGGTGATTGTATACTAGGGGAAGTTGCTTATGAATGATTGAGTATGAATGAGACAGCTTTGCAAAAAAACAAAGAGCAGAAGTAGTGGTTCTCACTTTCTTCAAATGGATATGATGGTCTTTCATCCTGTTTCTTTGGCATTACTATCTTTACGAAAGTGAAGGCAGAAATATCTTTTGATAGTAGATTTATGCAGCAGTTTAAAGTCTTAAGTTTTGAGTGGTAGGTTTTAAGTCACAAGTTTTTAGTTGTAGCAAAAGCAATAGCAATGATAATGAGCACCCTTTTCCATTAGCTCATTTTGCTCATTGTTCATCAGAGTTTTATACATGTTTGAGGTAAATTGTTTTTTTCTATTATTCAGCAGTTACAAATATCTGTTTTGGATTTGATTTGAAACAAATGTAAACAAACTAATATTACAAATGGTAGCGCACGGCTCTTCTGCTTCTTCTTCTCCTCTGCACAGGTGGGCGGGTACGTACACCCCTGCACTCAGGCCTCTTCAGTCGGGCCCATTGTGCGCCCACTTGTCCTGTGAATCAGCTGAGCATGCCGGTTTCTTTGTCGCATTTCAGCAGCTTCCTCAGCTGAGTCACTTTCACATCCTTTGAGTGCAGTACAATGCTCCCAAAGGCAGCTTTCCTCTGATGCACCAGCGCGGGGCATTCAGTGAGTATGTGTGATGATGTTTCATCATCCTCCAAGCACCATCTGCAGATGGGATCATCTTTGATCCCTATGAGTTCTAGGTGCCTGTTGAGGTGGTTGTGCCCAGTTAAGAGCCCAACTACCATCTTGAGATCCCTTCTATTAAGTGACAGGATCTCTCTTGTGAGCCTTTTTGAAGGTTCCTTTATATGGAGCTTTGATTGTCTCATTCCTGGTGTGTCCCGCCATGTTTCAAGGAACTGCCTCTGTAGCATTTCCTTCATGAAGGACATAGCCGTACTATTGGGTATTCCCAATATCGGTTTTGGTCCAATGGGTGTCGTTCCTGAACCGATCTTGGCTAGTCTGTCTGCCTCCTCGTTCCCCGGGATACCAGAGTGTCCTGGAACCCACATGAGGCTGACTTTCCTAGTTTTTGCCATATTTTCTAAGGCACTTCTACACTCGGACACCAATTTAGTTGTGATCCTATTGGATCTCAATGCCATAATAGCAGCTTTACTGTCCGAGCATATGGTGACTGGTCCACGTCCACTTCTGCCGAAATTTTCTTGGACACACGTCAGAATTGCAAACACTTCGGCCTGGAACACTGAAGCGTATTTGCCAAGAGGTACTGATTCCTTTCCCTGTTCCTCCTTCATATACTCCTGCACCAGACCCGCCACCAAACCTTGAGCCATCCGTGAACCAGGTTGATTCGTTGGCAAGAAGCAAACCTGGTGTATTGCCAGTCCATTCCTCTCTTGTAGGAAAAATGACATGCGGAGCTTTATTGAAATTCAGAACTGGCAGAGTGCTGTCCCTTACCAGCAGCAGACTGGGACAGCTTTCTTCGGCCTTGTTCCATATTAGGGAGTGTCCATAGTCTGCCTTTTCGATCCATTGGTTTGCACCTTTGAGTCTGTAGGCAGTGCGCATGGCTTCATGCTCTACACAGCTCATGCGCAGATCAAATTAGTCATGAGTTTTAAGTTGTAAGTTGTGAGAGATTAATGTTGGCCAACTTTTTTTACGACTTCGAACTTATGACTGCTCATGACAATATTATGAACATTTATATTGAAAAGCAATGAATGAACTACTTATGACTCAATACTTACGACTTAAAACTCATAAATTAAAACCGCTACATTAATCCACCATGAATCAAAGAAAATAAGCCTCATTTACTATATGAAATGATTTACGATAATGATAAGTCACACTACATTTGAAGTTTTCTATCTTGAAGTTGGATTAAAAACTCGAAAACTGGTATGCTGTTATTGCTGTTATAATCGGCCATTTCCAATATACCTGATATATTCTAAGTCCTTCAGCTATACAGAGTGTGCCAAAACACCAACTATCTTATTTTGAAGAGATATACCTACATATTTTTCAAACACGGTTCGATTGGCCTTCTAATTCTGAGTACAGAGAACCTGATTTCTGTGAACAATAATTCTCTCGAACAAGGAAAATTTATCAACATCAATTCAACAAGTTTATTATTCGAACAATGCTGACTAATAAAGAGTGTATTTTTTTCCAGGTGAAGAATTTACATGCTTTTGGGATGATTGCCCTCGAAAAACCAAACCGTTCAATGCGAGATATAAGCTTTTGATCCATATGCGTGTACACAGCGGAGAAAAACCAAATAAATGTCCGGTAAGTTTCTACTCATATTTTTTTATCTCTAGGGGCGCACGAAAGTGCATCCCGATAATGTTCGGAAAACATCGTGCGTACCTATAGGGGGAGTTAGGAGTTCTTGGGAATACTTCCTTGAGCAATAGACTATAGACACACGAGTGTAAGGATGTGCTGACTGGGCTTGTCTAGTTCGTCTGACTGGTATTGCTAGTGATATGGAATGATAGCAGAGATTTCTGACGAACATTTCTCGTGGAAGTATCTATAGAAGAGTGTTAGTGCTTTAAGTATACAGCGTAGCTCACTTTAAACGGTCCCTCTCCCGCTGTATCTCAGCTATTAGCCGATATGAATAGCCATCAATATTGAAAAGGAATATCCTCAGATGAATTATGAACATGAAAAAATGGATATATTACAGAGAAGTGCACAAAAACGCCCAGGACTGTAACTTTTGAATTATTCGTGAAAGGATTTTGAAAATTGGTGGGTAGCAAGTATACCGAATTGCTCAATAATTGATGAAACAATCGGAAATTACCCCAACTTTTGATTTTTTAATGGGACACCCTGCATTGTATTTCATAATTGGTTAGGGATTATCATGACGAATTCATTACGATGCCGGGTTTGATAGGGTACCTAATTTAAAACGATTACAAAGATATTTACGTTCGAAGTTTCCATATGTTCAATGGGTGTGACTTCGCAATATCAAAACTTCTGTCTCTGTCACACTCATTGAGCATATGGAAACTTGGAACGCGAATATCTGCGTAATCTCTGGAAATAGCCCTATCAAACCCGGTATCGATGAATTTGTTATGACAATCCCTAATCGATTATTGAATACAAAACAGGGTGCCCCTTTTGAAAATCAAAAGTTGGGGTCGTTTCCGGTGAAACGGGAAGTGATAGGAGAAAAATTGTTTCATCAACTGATGAGCAATTGGGTATACTAGCTGCCCACCAATTTTCAAAACCCTATCTCGAATAATCCAAAAGTTACAGTCCTTACCGTTTTTTGTGCACTTCTCTGTATATAATTATAAAGAAATACATCGAGAATTCGTTTCCTAAATCCAATCTCAATCCAATATGACGGACCATCCAAGATGGCGGAATAGTTATTTTTGATCTATTTCTACAATATGGGTATCATATAAAAGGGCTCGTTGAGAGCAAGTCGAAAAAAAATGTGACGTCATTTTCTAAATCCAATATGGTGGAACATCCAAGATGGCGCGGAATAGTTATCCTTGATGCACTTACACAAATGGAAGTGATTGTTGAGAGTAACTCGAAAAATGATGTGTAGTCATTATAAATCCAATATGGCAGGCCATCCTACAATATGGCTATCAAATGAAGAAGTTCGTTGGGATCAACTCGAGAAATGATGTGGCGTCATTATAAATCCAAGATGGCGGAATAGTTAATTTTAATCTACTTCTTCAATGTGGGTATCGAACGAAAGGGCTCGTTGAGAGAAACTCGGAAAATGATGTGACGTCATTCTGAATCGAATATGGCGGATTATCCAAGATGGCGGAATAGTTATTTTTAATCTACGACTTCTAAAATATGAGTATCAAATGAAAGGGCTTGTTGAGAGCACCTCGAAAAATAATGTGACGTCATTCTAAATCCAGTAAGGCGGACCATCTAAGATGGCGGAATAGTTATATTATTTATACACTTCTGCAATATGGGTATAAAATGAAGTTTTTTGTGCTTTCCTACAGAATGAAAGGGTTCGCTGAGAATAAAATTGCAGGCTTAAAAATTGATTTTTCAACTTCAATTGATTAACTTAGACTTGTGTAATTTGGCAAAAAAAGCTATCATTCAATTGCTTTGAAAAATGAAAATGAAAAGTTTCCTTCTAAATTTTAACTATTAACTCATAACCTCATTATACACAATTTATATAATCATCAAACCAATGATCAATATTCAATTAAATTGAAATTTTAACGATTTTACTTAGCAGATTTCATTTAATCAAATTAGTAGGTACTTGTTCATTTACACAAGTAAATCGCTAAGTTTGAATTCTTAAAATATTAATTTAATTAAATATTGATCAACGCGACAAGCTTATATGATAATGTAAATTGTGTATAATGAGGATATAAGTTGATAGTTAAAATATGAAAGAAACATTTTATTTTCTTCCTTTTAGAGCGTTTAAATAGAAGCTTTTTCTTTTAGTTTTTTTTTTACTTCTAATTTATTTTGTCGCGAGGCATTGTCCAAAATGATGTTTGTCTCTGAAAAACTAATGATAATGATAGTTATTCATAGTCCCAATTTGGAAAGAATTTTACGATCAATAGCTAAGATATATATATAGAGGGGACCGATTAAAGTGAGACACGCTGTATATAAATATTCGCTCGTATCGGATTCCTGAAATATTCGGGACAAGGGAAGCTTGAAAAAAAAATGATTAGCGAGTACTGACACGGAAAAAAAAATCATCTCCAGAATAGTAAAACAGGGTGAGTCAAACAAACTTTGTATTTGGATTCCTTCTACTTCATATCAAGGTGAGAAGTTCTCATCAACGTAACTATGTCCTAAAATGCATCTTTTGTGAGATACAGGGTGTCAACAGAACGAAAAAAACTAAGGTTTATATCAATTTCTTCCAAACCCCTGTAGAAAAAAATTCAAACTTGGTAATGAAATGCAAATACCCAGCAAAACACGTCGTCGAAATACAGGGTGTAAATTTGAAAACTTCCAATGCGACTATTTTGCGAAAGAAAAAAGTTAGAAAAACGCCGTTTGGCAAAAATGCTAAAGAGTTAAGGGGAACTAGAACCACCATATTTCGGTCAAGGGATGAGTCACCCCGTCGGCGCGACACACCCCAACTTTGAAATGTCAAATGGCACTACCTTTTTTGTGATGCCTCAAATGAACAGTCTCAGTCAGTAGTATTCACCTGTACAAGACTTTTTTTCCACCCACTACAGGGTGTACGAAAAATATAAAGTCGAATAAAATAAAATGAATTGTGTTAAATGGATATTTTATTTGACCAGATGTTCAAAATGCATTCCATTCTGTTGTGAGCAATAGTATAATCGATGTTCAAATGCCATTCTAACATTTTGGAACACATCTCTTGGAATATATCGGCATTCTGCATTTTATTTTATTCGACTTTATGTTTTCCGTTCACCCTGTAGTGGATGGAAAATAAGTCTTGTACAGGTGAATACTACTGACTGAGGCCGTTCATTTAGGTATCACAAAAGAGGTAGTGCCATTTGACATATCAAAGATGGACTGTGTCGCGCCGACGGGGTGACTCATCCCTTCACTGAAGTATGGTGGTTCTAGTTCCCCCTAACTCTGTAGCATTTGTGCCAAACGACGTTTTCCTAACTGTTTTATTTAGCGAGATATTCGCATTGAAAGTTTTCAAATTTAGACCCTCGAATTAATGTTTTTCGTACACCTTGTAGTGGGTGGAAAAAAAAGTCTTGTACAGGTGATTACTACTGACTGAGACCGTTCATTTGAGGTATCACAAAAGAGGTAGTGCCATTTGACATTCCAAAGTTGGGGTGTGTTGCGCTGACTGGGTGACTCATCCCTTCACTGAAATATGGTGGTTCTAGTTCCCCTTAACTCTTTAGCATTTTTGCCAAGCGGCGTTTTTCTAACTTTTTTATTTCGCGAGATATTCGCAGTGAAAGTTTTCAAATTTACACCCTATATACAGAACATATGTTAATAGTTCCTGTGTCGTATTAATGCACATTTCGGGTCGTCAATGACCTCTAAAAATTTGATACCGGCATGGTCTTGGCCAATTTAGTTTTACAGGCAAAAAATGAATGAGAAAATATGTCATTCATTTCGAGAATGATGACGTTATTTCCGCATCTATAAATTATTATACAGAGAATAAAATGAATGAGCATATAAACAATTCAGCACTCGAAACTATGATATCAAGTCAAGAGTCAAGAGGAAGGTCAAAATAAAGGAAATAACCCTGTACACTGTGTCCCATTTTGGTTGAGACTGCACTGTATCTCAGCTATTATTGAAGATAGAGACATGTGGTCTTCGCGATCCTGTATCACTTTTTTGTAAAACTTCCAATGCCATAAACAGAAATATTCCAACTACTTTTGTTCCTGAAATACAGGGCGAAAACGGAAATGTTCACTTTTGAAGATGTTATTATATCTCAGGCCCTGTATACTGTATAAGATGGAAAAGAAATGAAAACTGCTTATAATAGATATTTTTACATAAAAGTGGCGTATTCTGAATTTTTTTTAGAGCACTGTTTTCAAGATTGGGCACAAACTTGGTATTTTTTAAATGAAACACCCTGTATATTTTAACGTCAAATTTTTGCAATACATTTTCTGAATACACTGATATATCACATTACATTTTATCTTCAAAAACCAGAAAAATCCATATTTGTGTTTGTTTTTTTAATAGTAGGCCGTGAATTCTTTCACACATGCATTTATTCATCATATAATTTTTACACATTCCATGAAGTAATTCTGAATGATTCGAATATAACTTGAAATTAATTGAATCATTTTTGTCATGAAATCTTCCGGGCGTTAAGATCTATATAACGCACTTGGTACATAAATATATAACTAATGTTTTCATTATTCCAGTTCGAGGGATGCAACAAGGCCTTCTCGAGATTGGAAAATTTGAAAATACACCAGAGGAGCCATACAGGGGAACGTCCATATCTGTGCCAATTTACAAGCTGCACCAAAAGCTTTTCCAATAGTTCAGACAGAGCGAAACATCAACGGACTCATTTTGATACCGTAAGTATTCACGCATTGTTAGTTATAATGATTAGAAATTGTTATTTTTTCTACATTCATGCAAAAAGCAGAACTTTATTGAACTATATTTAGTGGAAAAAGTTCTTCATTGCACTTGGTGCAATAAAGTTTTTATTGCACTCATCTGTCATTCTACTTCAACGTGCTGTCATCATGACAAACATTTTTTATATTGCAACTGTGGTTATAGAAACGTCATATATTCATATTGAAAATTGCACCAATTGTTCATTCACTTTCAACATTGAGGTAAAAATAAAGTTTGAGTTAAATTGTTCGTAACGTATTAGTTCCTGTTTCAATGCAAATCGATATTAATAATAAAGTATTCAAGTTGCGTTCTTCATTTTCCTACACCTAGTGCCGCACCTCAATAAATAATTTTTTGCTTTTTACATGAACGTAGAAAAAATGTTGTATGCAACTCGTGCAAAAATTGTTTATTGCACTCGAAGTGTTGTCCAACTCGGCCTATATTGCACTTGTTGCATAAATAACTATTATGTATCGAGGGCGTAAAATAGTATTTTCTTGGGACATTCTTGGGATGTTGCTGGCAACATCCGTGTCAGCATTTGCGATGTCTTATAAACATCCCATCAGCATGTTTGTGGGATGATATGGGATGTATACCAGAGACATTCAGGGTACTTGATATGGAACATATTTCAGGATGTTTTTTGTTTGATGACAGTAATGGATGATACGGTATGAATTATTCTCAATCTGAGATCCTGAAAATGACCGACCTATCTCCAGACTTCTCCAGATATAAAGTAACAATCCGAATCCGATAATGTCGGTGCGGTCCAATAACTAATGGAAGATGATAACAGTTGCTTGAGGCTCATATTTGTTGGCGCTGGGCCGACGGCTGTTAGTAACTCTTAGCAACGTAGTTGTACCGCCATCTATCGGCTGGTATAATAAATAAATTCAGCAATAAATATGCTGAAGAGATATATTTCAATTTTGTCGTTTATTACATGGTTCATGAGGTTAAGCAGGTATTTTGGTAATCTTATTGAGGAATATTTAGTATAATTATTTCAATTTGTTATCGATGAAATTAGCCGGCTTTGGTATAGGTATAAGTGTATGAGTACGAATACAGTTTTGATTTCCATTTTTTACCAACTTTTCAATGTTTCAAATGTTACAATTATTGTTTGAACTGTTCAATCATGTCAATCATCATTAGCAAAAATGGAACCATGATATTGTTTATAAAAAAAGATCAAATGGGATGTTTCTCGAACATCCAATGAAAACATCTGATGGATGTCCCAAGAGAAATATCTCTGGGATATCGTATCTAAGTCTGAAACATTGGGACATTTGTAGGACCTTAGCGGGATTTACCAGCAAGATCCCGTGTTGTTAGGGATGTTCCTTCGTCCTTACTGACATTTTGGGGCAAATCATCCGATTTGTCCTTCCCTACCCCTAATAGCACACAACGTCCTAGGGACGTCCCTATTTGGTACAATTCACGTCCGAATATCCCGAACCAAAAATAAGTGTCCTTGGGACGTCCCATCCCGTACATCTCATGCAATGTCCGAGCAAGGACGTCCACGGAATGTTCCAGCTGGTACACCATTTCAGATGACCTAAAAATAGCATCCTTTAGACGTCCCACGTGGTACATATTGTAGAATGTCCATGCAAGGACGTCCTTGGCATGTCCCTGATGGGATATGATTTTAAACGTTCCTTTAGGGACATCCATCGGATGTCCCGAGTAGTACATATTCTGGCATGACTTCAGATCTTATATAATGTCCCTTCTAGATAACCATGAAATGTCCCTGATGGTACATTCTCTCAAATATCTCTGCACAGACGCCCTTAATATTTCCAGGATAGTATAACGATCGAAATGTCCCTTAGGGACATCCTTCGATTGTCCCTTTGGGATATCCGTCGGATAGCCCAATTGGTAGATGAACTCTTCCAATGTCCTAGAAATAACGTCTTATGGACGTCCCAGTCGGTTCTTTCAATATGTCGTCCCTACGAGGACGTTAACTTACACCTCGCCGACGAATGATTGCTCGTAGGCTATAAGTACTCCTCGTCAATGTCCTTCACGTAAGTCCATTGGACATCCTTGGGAAACTTTTTGGGGACCTTCTACGGACCATCAACTCAACTGGATGTCCTAATCAGTTATGGAAGATCTGGTCCTAGAGGGACCCAGAAAAATTCAAATTCAAAAATAATTCGTACTTCCGTGGGACATCCTATGGACATCCAATTGATATCCCTCAGCGTTGATGATAGGTTGTCCTGAGGATGTCCTCTGTAGTACTTGATGAGGGATACTGTAGGATTTAGGTATTCGATAGTTGTCCCAGGGACATCCCTCAGGGACGTCCCTAGTTGGTCCTCAAGTGGGACATTTGTGCGTCCCACAGACGTCCGATGGACGTCCACGGTACCAAATTCGAACGTCCTATGGACGTCCTGAATGTCCTAAGGATATCCATGGGACATAAGTCTTGTGTTGTTAGGGTTACTACACGTATATTGAAATAATATCCATATTTTTATTTTATAGAAACGAGGAGAGAAAGTCCTAAAAAATCTGGAATAATGATTATACTTTAATGTTCATTGCATAAACACTATCGAGGAATAATGCATTGTAACCTTCTGTGAAAATAAGTAAAAATAATGTTCTGTAAAAAAACATTCATTCATTCATTCATTCATTCAGTGTGTACCACCCCAATGCGCTCAACGTGTTAACAAACAAATCATTTCAGAAACCTTACGCTTGCCAAGTGTACGGCTGCACGAAGAAGTACACCGACCCCAGTAGCCTCAGGAAGCACGTCAAGAACCACACTGTGGAAGAGCAGATGCAGATCAAGAGGCGATCGAACGAGGAAGGCACGAATTTCATATCCCAGTCGCTGGCCAAGAAGTTCTTGGACCCGAGCAAACAGAAGGCCGTCAAAGAAGTCGTCTATTACACCACCTTCGAGCACAGCTACTCCCACACATTGGTCGAGAAGAAATGTGACTCGATGAACATCAAAAGGGATTTGAAGAATAAGATATCCGAGAAGTCGAGAATGAGAAAGGGTTATTCCGTAATATGACTGCTTTGATACCAAAAAAATATTCAAGGCGATCAGACAAATGATCCTGGTGTGGAGGATATTCTTGACAAGGAGAAACTGAGATGAGAACTGGTGAATTCACAAGTTTTCTAATGATTTGAGGTTGATTTTCACTGTCGATAATGCGATGTCATCAAAAATCAAGCTCTCCTCCATTAAGACATTTCAAGTCAAGTCAAGTCAAGTCAAGTCAAAAAGTGCTTTATTGTTTAAGAATGAGATTCTCGTAACAAAGCATGGACGATCAAAATATAAAATATGAAAAAATATCGAATAATATAAATATGAGTCATTTCTAAGTTACAAGTACTTATACGTTGATAAATGAAAACAACATTACAAATAATAAACTAACAAGAAACAAACACTAGACAATAAATTTAAAGCTTAAATTATGTCGGGGCAGAGCCTGCTTGTGGGGGATCAATAAAGTCAGTTGGAAAATAAACAACTCAGAAAGTAGTATCTGCTAGGAATTGGTCAACGGCATAATATGCCTTTTTGATCAGTAATTTTTTTACAGTTTTTTTGAATCTGCAATTTGAAAATGCCCTTGATCACATCAGGTAGGTGATTAAATAACTCGAGCCCATTATAAACAAAGGAGTTTTTTACAAGAGTCGAATTTGGTATGGGTAGAAAAAAACTGGTGGATCCACAAGTTTTCTAATGATTTGAGGATGATTTTCACTGTAGATAATGCAATGTTATCAAAAATCAAGCTCTCCCTCATATGACATTTCTAGTATCAAATTTGTTTCCAACATCTCCCAACAATGAAGCCATAATTATAGTAATTTTCAACCAATTAGGGATAAAGTATTGACAAACCACTAGAATATCACTAGTGACCACCTAAATTTACATACTAATATGCCCACACAGCACCGGAAGTCTTAAAGACGTCCATTTCATGTCCATATAATGTCTGAACGTCCACAGGCATGAAATGGACGTCTTGAAGACGTCTATCGTAGGACGTCTCAGAGACGTCTAGAAATGGATGTCCCAAAGATGTCTTATTGAAGTCCGGAAAAAGAGGCAGTATATTCAATTTTGATTCAGAATGAATGATTATTGCTGATGTTTTTGGTGAAATTATTGGGTCTACAAGCATAAAATGGAAGTCTTGAAGACGTCTTTGATCTCGGTGTGGAGGATATTCTTGACAAGGAGAAACTGAGAAAAAAACTGGTGGAATAACAAGTTTTCTAATGATTTGAGGATGATTTTCACTGTCGATAATGCGATGTTATCAAAAATCAAGCTCTCCATCATATGACATTTCTAGTATCAAATTTGTTTCCATCAACATCTCCCAACAATGAAGCCATAATTATAATAATTTTCAACCAATTAGGGATTCAGTATTTACAAACCACTAGAATATCACTAGTGACCACTTAAATTTACATACTAATATGCCCACACAGCAGCGGACGTCTCAAAGACGTCCATTTTATGTCCATATAATGCCTGAACGTCCACAGGCATGAAATGGACGTCTTGAAGACGTCTATCGTTAGACGTCAGAGAGACATCTAGAAATGGATGTCCCAAAGATGTCTTATTGAAGTCCGGAAAAAGAGGCAGTATATTCAATTTTGATTCAGAATGAATGATTATTGCTGATGTTTTTGGTGAAATTATTGGGTCTACAAGCATAAAATGGAAGTCTTGAAGACGTCTTCGATCCCGGTGTGGAGGATATTCTTGACAAGGAGAAACTGAGAAAAGAACTGGTGGATTCACAAGTTTTCTAATGATTTGAGGATGATTTTCACTGTAGATAATGCGATGTTATCAAAAATCAAGCTCTCCCTCATATGACATTTCTATTATCAAATTTGTTTCCAAGACATCTCCCAACAATGAAGCCATAATTATAGTAATTTTCAACCAATTACTGATAAAGTATTTACAAACCACTAGAATATCACTAATGAACACTTGAATTTACATACTAATATGCCCACACAGCAGCGGACGTCTCAAAGACGTCCATTTTATGTCCATATAATGCCTGAACGTCCACAGGCATGAAATGGACGTCTTGAAGGCGTCTATCGTTACACGTCTCAGAGACATCTAGAAATGGATGTCCCAAAGATGTCTGAAAAAGAGGCAGTATATTCAATTTTGATTCAGAATGAATGATTATTGCTGATGTTTTTGGTGAAATTATTGGGTCCACAAGCATGAAATGGACGTCTTGAAGACGTCTTTGATCTCGGTGTGGAGGATATTCTTGACAAGGAGAAACTGAGAAAAGAACTGGTGGATTCACAAGTTTTCTAATGATTTGAGGATGATTTTCACTGTCGATAATGCGATGTTATCAAAAATCAAGCTCTCCTGCATTATGACATTTCTGGTATCACATTTGTTTCCAACATCTCCCAACAATGTAGCCATAATTATAGTAATTTTCAACCAATTAGAGATAAAGTATTTACAAACCACTAGAATAGCACTAGCACACAGTACCGGACGTCTCAAAGACGTCCATTTCATGTCCATATAATGCCTGAACGTCCACAGGCATGAAATTGACGTCTTGAAGACGTCTACCTATCGTAGGAAGTCTCAGAGACGTCTAGAAATGGATGTCCCAAAGATGTCTTATTGAAGTCCGGAAAAAGAGGCAGTATATTCAATTTTGATTCAGAATGAATGATTATTGCTGATGTTTTTGGTGAAATTATCGGGTCCACAAGCATGAAATGGACGTCTTGAAGACGTCTTTGAGACGTCTTTTTGCTGCCAGGAAACGTCTTCAAGACGTCCAGTTTATGTACGATTGGACGTCATAAAGACATGTTTAAGACGTCCGATTTTGTAACAACGGACGTCTTGAAGACGTCTTATGAACGTCTTTGAGAATTAACGGGACGTCTTGAAGACGTCCCGAATGTCTTACGTCGACGTCTTGAAGACGTCCCGAATGTCTTACGTCGGCGTCTTGAAGACGTCTTTGAGACGTCATTTTGTGCTGTTGGGGTGAGGTATCTAGCAGATGTCAAAATATTTTCAAATGTAGTATTTCACTAGAGATCTCAATATTCAGTTGAACACTGGTACTGATATATCTGAAAAAAAAAAGAATTCGAGATATATACAGGGTGACATAAAAAAAAGTACATCGCATAGTGCCACACAATAAAGGATTAGATTAGATTTAGAATGGGGCCTTCGGGCTATCTGCCTCCGCACCGCGACCTTTTCAGATCTATTGTGTCTGCCCTCAAAATCGATTAGAGTTCTTCGGCTAGCCCCGTCTTCTCTATGAGACTCCATAGGCTAGCTTTCAGATTCCCTGTGTATCTCTGGGCTTCTGGTTTTTCCTCGCCCAGCGTAAGGAACCTTAGTCTTGACAAGCCCTCACAGTGGCAAAGTATGTGTACTGCTGTTTCCTCCTCTTCCTGACAGAACCTGCACAGCAGTTCTTCAGTCAGACCTATCGTACTCATATGTTTGTTGAGCCTACAATGCCCTGTGAGAAGTCCCACTAGTATTCTAGTTGAACTTCGTTTCTGGCTTAGTAGATATTCTGTGAATGTTGGCGATGGTTTTTTAATAAACTCTTTTGCCTGTCTCATTCCTGGCGATTTGTTCCACCATTCTTGAGATTTGGTTTGCATCCATGATTTGATACTAGTCTTTTGTATAGCTTTCGCAATACCACAGAAGGGTTCTGGGCCATTCAGAGCTTTGTTTGCTCCTGCTCGGGCAAGTGAGTCTGCCTCTTCATTGCCCTCGTACCCTGTATGTGCTGGTACCCATGCTAGAGTCAGTCTGTTCTGACTGCCCAGTGCATTTAGGGTTTCTAAGCAGTCCCATACTAGTTTTGAGTTAACTTGCATAGAGTTGACTGCTTTGATTGCCGCCTGGCTATCTGAATAGATTGCAATGGTTTTGCCTTTAAACTCTTGCCTTATCAATTCTTTCACGCAATGATGTATTGCAATAATTTCTGCCTGAAACACCGTCGCGTATTTACCTAAGCTCAGTGAGATTCTTGTCTTTGGCTTGGCCCCATAAATACCAGCTCCTGATCCAAACTCAGTTTTGGAGCCGTCCGTATAGACAGCAATGTCTGCATTGATAGGAGGTCCTTCCTTCCATGCCTCTCTGTCCGTTATACTTATTTTAAAAGTTTTTTCAAAGCTATATTTTGGAATTATGCCATCCGTTGGCATTCCCATGATGGGGTCGCTTTCCAACTCTTCATATAGCTTTCTATAGTCTTTACCGTGCGCGTTGCTTATGGGTGCTTGACCCCTTGACAATCTACTCACGACTGCTCTGGCTTCGCCTTGAATATATATTTGTAGTGGTGGTAGGTTCAAGAGGACCTCTAAAGCGGCTGTTGGAGTGGTTTTCATTGCACCAGTGGCACTCAGGCAAGCTTGCCTTTGAATAGCACTGAGCCTTCGAATCACTCCAGCCTGTTGTGTCTTTGGCCACCAAACTACTGACCCATATGCTATCATAGGCCTGATGACGCTGGCATAGAGCCATGTGGTCATTTTTGGTTGCAGTCCCCAATTTTTTCCGCACATTCGTCTGCACAGATTGAAGGCTACTGTACTTTTTTGAACAATTTTTTGTAGGTGTTGATTCCATGTTAACTTATGGTCAAAGATGACTCCTAAGTATTTTGCCTCTAGGGCGAACGGAATTTCTACCCCGTTGAGTACTGGTGACTTTATTCCTTCCAGTACTCTCTTTTTCGTGAAATTCACTATAGTGGTTTTATGAGGGTTCACGGTGAGTTCCTCCTCTTTACACCAATTGTCAATTATGTTTAGAGCGATTTGTGTGAGCTCCGAGACCGTACTTGCGAATCTACCTCTAGCGATAACCGCCAGGTCGTCGGCATATCCTAAGCAATAATACCCTTTGGATGTTTGCCTTTTGATCAGTTCGTCCATTAGAATGGCCCATAGTAGGGGCGATAATACTCCTCCCTGTGGGCA